ATATCAATTCACTTGCCATCGACTTTAGATTTGCCCTGTGGCCATCACACAGACCTGGATGCTTGGAATGGGTTCATTTCCTGCACCTAAAAACACCAGGCAGGACCAGCTAGGTAGTCCGTGGGACCCAAGTGGTCCATGTTCACAAAATCGTTAAGAATCAGGAGAGTGGCCGCAGAGCATGAAGCCAAGCAGGACACTCCATGGTGGCACGAGCCCCACCCTCAGAGCCAGCTCCAGCTTCTGCATCCCCATCAGTGCCCAGGGGCCCGTGACCCACACAACCCCTAAATCGTGAGTGACAGCCTCTGCTGACTTAGGCCCAGAATGGACAGTTGTTCAAGGCAAGCTGGTTAAGGGTCAGCCCCAAGCCAGGGATCCTATCTATCAAATTTCTGAGGCTAAATCCAGCCTCCGAATTGGAGTTCCAGGTGTGAAGTAGGAAAGAAGCTTTATTGCTTTGCCAAACAAAGGGGGCCACATCGGGCTAATGCCCTCAAAACTGTGTTGCAACCCAGAGTGGGTATTTAGTAGAAATTGTTCAAAGAGGGCATGACCAGCGTGTGGGCATTCTTCTGACTGGTTGGTGGTGAGGAAAGTGGGAGTTCGCATCATCAGTCGTCTGGTTCCAGCCTGTCTGGGATCTGCGTGCTTGTCAGCAGCTTGCAGTTAATTTCTCCCACCTTGTGCGTGTTTCAGTATCTGCAAAACTGCTCGAAAGTATTGTTATGTTTATCCCTTGAGGGGGAACCAGGACCTTGCCACAAGGCTTTTCTATTGTTTCTTGACTGCTTCTCCCTTTTCTCCGCATTCCCTCCCATCCCTAATAAGAAACTGTTTGAGTCTGCTTGTTGGAACCCAGTGCTGCCTCCCTGTGAAATATAGAACTATCATGAATTACCTCCCCTTGTAGCTGATGTCTGTTGCTTCACCAGACAAAGCTGGTAGGCTTCCTTGGAAAAATATGTGAAGGACTGTATTTACTCATCTACTTGCCATCCTAAATCTTGAGCTTTTGCTGTATCATATTTTTCAGTGATTAATGCTGGCCACAAAAAAGGCCCAAATCTAAAACTCTACAAACGTAGAAAACAATATGTTCTATGCAGTTAGCTTTTATGTTAATATTACAGGTTGTATCCTCCTGGAGACAGGTTGAATGTTCAAAGTCATCTTTGATATTTGAACAATTCTATAAACTTTCTGTATGCTTGATTTAAAAATCATTGTCATTGCTATATATGAAATAGATAATCAGTAGGAACCTACTGTATAACCCAGGAAACTCCACTTAATTCCCTATAGTAACCTATATGGGAAAAGAATCTGAAAAAGAATATACATAAATACATAACTAAATCACTTTGCTGTACACTTGTAACTAACACAACATAAATCAGGTATATTCTAATATAAAATAAAAAATATTTAAATAAAATAAAAATCATTATTGTCCTTTATTACTGATTACATCCAAATGGAATGTGGGTCTATTTATTAACATGTTTTGTTCAGACTTATAAGATAGCAAAGAATGTCAGCTTTGTCAAAACCAAAAATACGACTATAAACTTTTTTTTAAGGAAAAATATCGTGCTTTGGGATTCCCCTTGGTTGCATTTTAAAGAATAGTAATAGATTTAACATCCTTTAGAGTTGAAACTTATCAAAGTTATACTTTAAGGGGTGTAAAAGATTTGATCCCAAATTATGATTCTTTTGCGTCTAAAAACAAACCTACAGTTTTGGAGAAAGTGCTTTTATTTTCCGCTCATGTGAAGTGAGAGTCTCTCAGTAGTATCTGACTCTTTGTGACCCCATGAAGTATACAGTCCATGGAATTCTCCAGGACAGAATACTGGAGTGGTTAGCCTTTCCCTTCTCCAGAGGATCTTCCCAACCCAGGAATTCCCAACCCAGGTCTCCCGCATTGCAGGCAGATTCTTTACCAACTGAGCTATCAGGGAAGCTGATACCTCATATTTTTGCTCATATTAGTATGTAATTTTCCTATCTACAATTATAATCATTTTTTTTTAAATGTTTTTTTGGAGACATGGAGGTCTTTGACATAAGGTTCAGGAAAGTTATGGAAACCAGCCAGAGTGTGATTCTGTGACCATACCCAATGGGGATAAGGGGCAGACAGTGCTGAGAATCAATTTCAAGACACTTTAATCACACAAAAAAGAAAACCTATACTCTTCATCTGTCACCTTCTAACATCCCCTGCCCCATCCCAGCCTTAAGCAACCGCTAATCTACACACTGTCACTACATTTTTTCCAGTTGTGCACATTTCATGTAAATGGATTCATATAAGATGTGACCTTTTCAATGGCTGTCTTCAACATTTGCAAGGTTCACCTATGTTGTACTGTGTATCAATACTTTATTTTCTTGATTTCTTTTTATTACTGAAATAATTTTATCACTTATTATTAATTTTCCATTGTGTGGATATACCTCATCTTGTATGTCCATTCATCTTATGCTGGAAATTTGAATTGTTCCATCTTTTGGTTGTTATGAATAATGCTACTGTGAACGTTCATGTGCAGGTTTTTGTGTGAGCATATGTTTTCACTTTTCTTGGGTATACACGTGAGAGAAGGAATGCTGGGTCGTATGGTAACTCTGTAACTGATTAATTCTAGACTGTTTTCCACAATGGCTACATCATTTTACATTCCCACGAGCAATGTTGGGTGGGGGCTCCAATTTCTCCATCTTCTTGTCCACATTAATTTTCTTTGTTTTTAATATTGCCCTCCTAGTGTGTGTTCAGTTCAGTCGCTCAGTCGTGTCCGACTCTTTTCGACCCCATGGGCTGCAGCATACCAGGCCTCCCTGTCCATCACCAACTCGTGGAGCTTACTCAAACTCATGTCCGTTGAGTCAGTGATGCCATCCAACCATCTCATCCTCTGTCGTCCCCTTCTCCTCCCGCCTACTGTGTGTAATGTTATCTTATTGTGATGCTGGCTTGAATTTCTCTCATGACAAATGATATTAAGCATCTTGAAAAGTGCTTGCTGGCCATTTGTTTATCTTATTTGGAGAACTGTCTATTCAGATCCTTTACCCGTTTTTTAACTGAGTTATTGGTTCTTCATTTATTTTAGATACAAGTCTCTTATCAGATAAATGATTTGTAAATATTTTCTCCCATTCTATGATTTGTCTTTTCACTTCCATGATAATGTTCTTTGAGTGCAAAAATATGATGAAGTCAAGTTTATGTATTTTTTTTCTCTCACTGCTTATACTTTTGAAGTTATGTCTAAGAATGCATTGTCAAATTTTGACTCACAAAGGTTTACCCATATATTTTCTTCTAAGAGTTTTATAGTTGTAGCTTTTTACAATTAGGTATTTGATGCATTTTGAGTTAATTTTTCTTTATGATGTGAAAAAAGGAAGTAATTTTACTCTTTTGTATGTGGCTATTCAGTTGACCTAGCATCATTTGTTTAAAGACTATTCTTTCCCCAATTGAGTAGCCTTGGCATCCTTGTCAAAAGTCATTTGCGTAGATATGAAATTATTTCTGAACTCCCAATTCTGTCTCATTGATTTATATGTTGATCTTTTTTTTCTAATACCAAGTTGCTTTGGCTACTGTTGCTTTTAGAAAGTTTTGGGATTAAGAAGTATGAAACCTGCAACTTAGTTCTTCTTTATTAAGATTGTATTGAAAATTCTTGGTCTTTGAGTTTCCCTGTGAATTTAAGGATCAGCTTGTCAATTTCTATAAAGAAACCAGATGGGATTTTGATAGAGGTTGTATTGAATCTGTATAGCAATTTGAGAGTAGTGCCATCTTAACAATATTAAGTCTTCTGATCCATAAATACAAGATATCTTTCCATTCATTTAGTTCTTTTAAAATTTTCTTCAGCAGTCTTCTTTTATTTTCAAAGTACATGTACTTATTTTTTTAAGTGTATTCCTAAGTATCTTATTCTTTTAGGTGCCATTCTAAATGCAATTATTTACTTAATTTTGTTTTTAGATTGTTCATTGCTTGGTGCATATAAATAAAATTGATTTTTATATGTTGATTTTGTATCCTAGAACTCATTTATTAATTCTAATAGCTTTTTAGTGTACTCTGTAGGATTTTCTATAAACAAGATCACGTTGTCTGGGAACAGAAATAGTTTTACTTCTTTCCAATCTAGATACCTTTTATTTCATCTTCTTGCCTAATTATCCTCACTAGAATTGGAGACCTCTAACTGAAACAACATTTCATTTGATTATGAAAGTACATAGCAATCCATAGTAATGTTAGCGGTACCTCTGACTCTGACACCAATATAAACTACAGGTATTTTTATATCTCATTATAATTGTTAGAGATCTCTCAATATAGTTATATGATTATCGGTACTTTGAAACTATGCTAATTGTCAAACTTGCAATTAGATCCCGTAATTGAATGTATTATTAAAACAATAAAGATATTTTCCATATTTTGATAACTGTGAAAGTGAAGTTGCTAAGTCGTATCTGACTCTTTGTGTCTACCAGGCTTCTCTGTCCATGGGATTTTCCAGGCAAGAATACTGGAGTGGGTTGCCATTGCCTTCTCCAGGAGATCTTCCCAACCCAGGATTGAACCCAGGTCTCCCACATTGTAGGCACATACTTTACCATCTGAGCCACCAGGGAAGATGTATAATTGGTTTTTCATTGTTATTCTTTGCATTTTATTTTGTGCGTTTAAGAGCATCAACAAGTTCCAGAGAAGATGATAGTGTCAGGAAATCATAGATGTCCTGGAGCCTGGATCTAAAGAACGTTTCCTCTTCCCTGTCCTTGTTGGGGTCATCCATAGGACAGGGTTATTCTCTTCAATTCTTGGGATCCTCCACCTAAAAGCCTATTTCCTAAGCTTGAAATGGGGATAAAGATGTATTCAGTGTGTTGAATAGTGATTTTCTGAGTCTTTATAAAGCAACTAGTAAACTCCTTCTATGCTTTTGTCCCACCAGGTACCTTCTCAAACCAGATTTCATGAGACGGCCCGATCGAACATTTGATCCCTTCTCTGAAACACCTGTTGATGGGGTTATTGCAGCCACTTGCTCCGTGCAGGTAAGTCTCCTGCTTTCCACAGAATAATATAATAAGAGTGGATCCAGGTGGTCTTGGAAAAGCCTTAAAAAATTGCAATTAAAATATTTATTGTCAAGTTGCAAGATCTACACGTTGCTCTCAACTTTAACATTTTTTTTCTTGAGATACATTTTTTTCTACTAGTGAAATTATTAGCTACTTTTCATCAAAGACACCAGATCGAAAAGTAGCCAGTGGAGAATGTGGAGCAATGGGAACTCTTGGCCATTGATGGTGGGAATGCAAAATCATACAACCACTTTGGAAAACAGTTGGGTGGTTTCTCCCAAAACTCAACATTCTCTTAACACGTGATCCAGCAGTTAAACTCCTGGGTATTTACTCAAACAAATTAAAAGCTCACATCCACATGAAAACTTACACAGGGATGTTTGCAGCAGCTTTATTCATGCTTGATAAAATTTTGAAAGCAACCAAGGTGCCACTTAGTGGGTGAATGGATAAAGAAGCAATGAATGGTATGTCCAGACAGTGGAATATTACTTAATTCTAATAAGAAATGAGCTATCAAGTCATGAAAAGACATGGATGAAACAAATTAACATTCAGTTCAGTTCAGTCACTCAGTCGTGTCTGACTCTTTGCGACCCCATGGACTGCCGCACACCAGACCTCCCTGTCCATCACCAACTCCTGGAGTTTACCCAACTCTTGTCCATTGAGTCAGTGATGTCATCCAATTATCTCATCCTCTGTCGTCCTCCTCCTGCCCTCAATATTTCCCAGCATCAAGGTCTTTTCCAATGAGTCAACTCTTCTCATCAGGTGGCCAAAGTATTGGAGTTTCAGCTTCAACATCAGTCCTTCCAATGAACGCTCAGGACTGATTTCCTTTAGGCTGGACTGGTTAGGTCTTGTTGCAGTCCAAGGGACTCTCAAGAGTCTTCTCCAACACCACAGTTCAAAAGCATTGATTTTTCAGCATTCAGCTTTCTTCACAGTCCAATTCTCACATCCATACATGACTGCTGGAAAAACCATAGCTTTGACTAGACAGACCTTTGTTGGCAAAGTAATGTCTCTGCTTTTTAATATGCTGTCTAGGTTGGTCTTAGCTTTTCTTCCAAGGAGTAAGCATCTTTTAATTTCGTGGCTGCAATCACCATCTGCAGTGATTATTTTTTAAAGTCTGCCACTGATTCCCTACCTATTTTCCATGAAGTGATGGGACTGGATGCCATGATCTTAGTTTTCTGAAAGTTTAGTTTTAAGTCAACTTTTTCACTCTCCTCTTTCACTTTCATCAAGAGTCTCTTTAGTTCTTTGCTTTCTGCCATAAGGGTGGTGTCATCTGCATATCTGAGGTTATTGATATTTCTCCCGAAATCTTGATTCCGGCTGTGCTTCATCCATCCAGTAAAATGAACATTACTAAGTGAAAAAAAACTAGTGTGAAAAAGTAGCATACTGTTTGATTCCAACTAAATGACATTCTGAAAAAAGACAAAACTATAAAGATGGTAAAAAAAAAAGAGAAAAGACCAAGAAGTATGGGGAGGGATTAACAGGCAGATTACAAAGCATTTTAGGGCAGTGAAACCATTCTGTATGATTCTATGATAATAGATACATGTCGTTATATTTACATTTTTTTCCAAATCCATTAAATGTGCACCATAGTAAACTCTGAATGTAAACTATGGCTTTGGGTAATAATGAAGCATCAATATAGGTTCACTGATTGTAACAAATATGCTACTGAGATGTGAGGTAATCCATAGTGAGGGATATTGTGGATGAGGAGACAGAAACAATATATTTTCTTATCAATTTTGCTGTGAACAGAAGCTGCTATAAAAAATAAAGCATATTAATGAAAAGATACCTGCTATATGATTACATTGATACAGAACTCTAGAAAATGCAAACTAATATAAAGTAACAGAAAACAGATCAGTAGTTTCCTCTTGGTAAAAGAAGGGATGGATTACAAAAGGGTGCAAAGGAGCTTTGGGAAGTGATGGAAACATTTGTTGCCTTAATATTGGTGACAGTTTTATAGATGTGCTCATATGTCAGAACTGATTTCATTGTACACTCTAAACATGTACAATTTATTTAATGTCAGTTATACCTGAAAAAACTGTTTCATAATGATTAGCTATTAGATAATGTGAAAAAAACTTAATAATTAGCTATAATTATTTGGAAATATGTGAAAAAAGTCTTTCCATAGCTTTATAATAGATAGAAGAGGGAAATATATATGACTTATACAAAAAATAGTTGTCCACAGCATCTTAACCTAAGTGCCCACACCTGTGAAATAAAGCAGTCAATACTGCTTTTTTAATACTGGTTTTTTAAAAAAAATAACACTGTCCTCTCTGTCAGTTGTCAATGTCAGTTTAGCATTTTAGTGTTACTTTTCTTTGTGTGTGTCTCTTTGTAAGACTTCTGAAAGAATTCAATAAAAGTGAATTTTGGAACTATGAAAGGATCTTAAGGCATATTTGGATTGACTGCTTCAGTTTAATAGGGAATGAATACATTATTTCCAGCAATAATTGAATTTCTGAAGATGAACAGAGACTCTCTCCCTGCCAGATTATTTTGTTACTGATGATTACACCAGCTTAACTTCTCTTCCTCCCATTTCTCTTCTGCTCCAGGTTATATCAGGTCAGTTCTTATCAGATAAGAAAATTGGCACATATGTAGAAGTGGATATGTATGGGTTGCCCACGGACACTATCCGAAAGGAATTCCGCACTCGAATGGTGATGAACAATGGACTCAATCCAGTTTACAATGAAGAATCATTTGTGTTTCGGAAGGTAGAGTGTTTTCCATGTGTCAGGCTTGCTGCGCCACATGCTAGGGGCCACATGTTAGTGTAGAGAGGCTACACGATCTGCAGATAGTCATTTAACCCGACGCCTTCTTCCAGTGCAGATGTTCTGCAGCTGTCACGCAATGATGGTTTCTCTGTGTCCCTGTCCTCTCGGCTCTCCTTCCTCCCAGGAGGAGCCCGCCTTCCCCACAGCGGTGCCCGAGCTCTGGGTTCGCAGTGTTCTCAGAGGGAGCCCCCAGGTAGGCACCGTCACATGTGGGAGAGCTCCTCCCTGCCCTGGCCGCTAGCGCCCTGCTGTATTCCTTTGGCCAAGAGGATGGGTAGGATGTTGCACCAATAAATGTCCATCAGTGGGTCAGTTGGTATTGTCCTGTGCCTCCAGAAAGTGTGGTCCCTATTGCTACTCACAGGTTCTGTGTATAATATGTTATTTTTGTTTTTTGGTTTTTATCTTCATATTATACTTTGATCCTATGGGCTTCCCCAGTGACTCAATGGTAAAGAATCTGCCTGCAATGCAGGAGACACAGGTTCAATTCCTGGGTCAGGAAGAGCCCCTGGAGGAGGGTATAGCAACCCACTCCAATGTTCTTGCCAAGAACATCCCGTGGACAGAGGAACCTGGCAGGTCACAGAGGCAACTACGGCTGAAGCGACTGAGCACACAGACAAATCAGTCATTCTCTATAATGATGCAGGTTTTAATCTTGTAACTGTTTTCTCCCATTTGTTTCTCTTTCATTGACGGCAGATGTATTGAAAAATCCATGCCCTGGCAGTCCTTTCTCAGAAATGCCTGTTTCTCTCTCACTTGTTCTGTTATCATGACCAGAGTGCTTTCTTCCTTCTTCTTTGGCACAGGTTTTCCAAGTGTCTATTCCGTTTGTGTCTTACAACACAGATGATCACCTTTTTATCTTAACAAAAATATGAATTGTCAGCCTCAGAACTGGCTGACCAGTTTGTAGAATGCATATTACAGAAGATCAATATAGGTCAATGAATCAAGCCATTTTAAGATGTAGGCTTTTCCAATTATGTGAATCCCATTATCCATGCAACACCCTCCCCCTACCTTTTCACCTCCTCTTCTACAATCAGCGTGTAGTGTGAGTTGCACACAGCTGTGATGTGTCTTTTTTCCTTCCTGGGTTTTTCAGTTTCTTACAGCTGGATCTGTTGTCACTTTGCCCAGTGTTTTGCGCAAAGACAAATAATCCCTACCTACATTTCTGGAAATTCAGAAAGTTGATTTCAGGCTCTGTTTTTGATGCATAGGGAAATAAACTTGCTTTTTACACGCAATATTACTGGCCCCAGAAACAAGATGCCAATTTTGGATCCTTTCCTGCTCTTCTGAAGTTACATTGCCTTTCATTGATACCAATTGCTTTAACTTTATTTTCTTTCTTGCTGTTACTGTTTTTGTTCTTTGCATGAATCTCACAGCATAAGCCCCATTCACCAAATGAGGAACAACACAGTGACTAAAGTTGGTTTCACCTTTTCATCTTCATGAACTGGAACTAAATTATAACCTCTAGGCGTAAATAAGCAGGCAATTCATTGCCTAGCTTTAGACATAGTGCTCAAATCAGCTAAGGTGTCTTAGTTGCTCATAGCCAATAAATAGAAATTCTTGATTAAAAACATCAGATTTTCTTCTGTCATGTTGCTCTTTTATATCTAAATAGGGTTTCTGCTCTCTGAGCTCAGATGTTGTGTCCATGTATTCGGTTTGAGGATGGCAAGAGTAGATGTCTTGTGCTGTGTGTGCTCAGCCACTGAGTCGTGTCTGACTCTTTGTGACCCCATGGTCTGTAGACTGCTGGGCTCCTCTGTCCATGGAATTTTCCAGGCAAGAATACTGGAGCAGGTTGCCATTTCCTTCTCCAGGGCATCTTTCTGACCCAAGGATCAGACCCACGTCTCTTGAGTCTCCTGCATTGATAGGCAGATTTTTCACTACTATGCCACCTGGGAAGACTCGATGTCCTGGGTATATGTTAATGTTTCTAGCTGTCCCATCTTTAGTATTTAATATCCCAAAATGTGTTAAAAACTGAGGAGCGCAAAGAAAAATAATACAAATTTATATATAAATTGTCTTTTATACATGAGGCATTTCTTCCAAGATACTTTCCATAGTCTCAAAAACAGAGCTCGATGTCAGAAGCAGCCCAGTAGTAGACAGATCAAAGGATTTGAAATCGGGTAGCCCAGGATCTAGACCCAGCTGTCACTGACCATCTTTGACATAAGGGAAAGTCACTTTTCCTCTCCAGGTCTCTTGTAGCTCACCCATTGTGTAGGTGGGAATGGGGAAAGATGGCAAGGGTTGGATTAGCCATCTTTTATATCCATTCATTCCATCTAAAATTTTCAGGGAGTGATTTCTAGGAAACCTGTTCCCATTGTCTTTCTCAGTGTTGTGGGCACTGTAACTTATACAGTATGCTTTAGGAATGTAAGTTGACCATCAGCTCATTTGCACCATAAAGGAACCTTCCCAAGCAGTATGAGTATGGTCCAGACTCCTGGCGTTGTAATTCTTGGGAGCTGTGTTCCACAGATCAGTGCCAAGTGTCGTTGTGTGTCTGCAGGTGATCCTCCCTGACCTGGCTGTCTTGAGGATCGCTGTGTATGATGACAACAACAAGCTGATAGGCCAGAGGATTCTGCCCCTGGACGGCCTCCAAGCAGGCTATCGACACGTATCCCTCCGAAATGAGGGCAATAAACCTTTATCGCTGCCAACCATTTTCTGCAATATTGTCCTAAAAACATATGTGCCTGATGGATTCGGAGGTAAGTCAAACTTTTAGGTACAGAATATTTTTGTGTATATGTTTTCCCCCTAAATTTCAAGATTATAAGCTATTTCACCAATGGTTAAAAAAAAAGTCTGTTCCCGCCAATGCTGCCAACCCTGTAGGCTTAAAGAAATCAGGCATAAAGAGTTACCTCAGGTTTCCTAGCAGGAAATGAAAAGGCAAATCTAGATTACCTTTAAAGTTCTTCATTTAAAAATACTGTCACTTTGTGTTTTTTCAGTTTTCACATGTTTCACATATATGTCTGTGAAGAATGCATTTCTACCATCATTCAAAGGAGGAAAGGCATGAATAATGTAGAGCCATAGACATCAGTTAGTTTCACTAAAAGGTTTAAATTGAACTCCATTATCAACATTCCTGGACTTTCCCCCAAAATCTGCAGGGGAGTTCAATTTCACAAAAAATTCCCAGTCATCAGTCCATGAAAGACCACCTTCGGTTACACCAAAGACATCAATGAAAGTGAAAGTGAAAATTGCTCTGTAATGTCTGACTCTTTGTGACCCCATGGACTTCTCCATGTGACCCCGTGGGCCCCATGGAATTCTCCAGGCCAGAATACTGGAGTGGGTACCCTTTCCCTTCTCCAGGGGATCTTCCCAACCAGGGATCGAACCCAGGTCTCCCTCATTGCAGGCAGATTCTTTACCAATTGAACTATCAGGGAAGCCCGAAGTCATCAGTGGGAGGAATCAAAAGTTGGACAAAGTCTTAAAGTGAAAATGAAAGTCACTCAGTCATGTCTGACTCTTTGCAACCCCATGGACAGTAGGCCATGGAATTCTCCAGGCAAGAATACTGGAGTGGGTAGCCTTTCCCTTTTCCAGGGGATTTTCCCAACCCAGAGATCGAACCCAGGTCTGCCACATTGCAGGCGGATTCTTTACCAGCTGAGCCATAAGAGAAGCCCAAGAATACTGGAGTGCTTTAAGATCCCTTCTCCAGCAGATCTTCCCAACCCAGGGATTGAACCCAGGTATCCCACACTGCAGGCAGATTCTTTACCAACTGAGCTCTGAGGGAAGCCCCAAGTCATAGGATTCTGGTAAACCCACACATTAACTTTTTATAACCCCCATCTGAGCCAAGAACATTAAAGGAAAACAAAGACCCTCCATATTCTCAGAGTGCATTGAATCTTAAAGAAACAATAGTACAGCAAAGTATATCAAATTAACAAGGGTTCAAGTCCTGACTCTCCACTGCTAGCCAGGTGACCTTGAGATAGTGTTATCACCTGTCATCACCCCCCCCACCCCATATTCTGGCCTGTAAAGGTACTAATACTATTTCCCTCACAGCATCCTCATAATGTGTGCTTATGTGTGTGCACAGGTGTGTGTGGCTCTAAATGCAACTCAGTTTCTGTACTATACTGGTTTGGGGAGCTTTGGGTTATTTTGTTTTGTGTTTTTAATAATGCAGTCTTCTCTGGAGGGCAGAGTTTCTACAACTAATACTCAGAATTAACAACACAATTGTGGGTTCCAAAAGTAAAGTCAGCCATGAGGATTTTTCAATTGCAAAATTGAGAGTAAAGATTCCTTCCTCCTTCCCTTTGTCTTTTCTTAAAAAAGGAAGCCTATTACAGGTTATAAAACAGAGTAACAGTTATGAGCACATGGCAGAGGCTGGGATGGGGTGCTGTGGGCAGGGTGAGCAGGACAGAAAAGAGACATGGGACCTGCGTGGGTGTTGAGCAGCATGTGATGGCCACGGGGCATCAGCAGATGGATTCAGTCTTCTTCCACATATTTGCACTTAGAAAGCAGTGGTGCATAATACCTAGTACATTTTAAAAATAGTTATATAAATAAATGGAAGACTTAAAGGTTTTGCCTTTACACGTGTTACTTTTCAAATGAAACTCTAATTCATTCTAGGGAAATGGGCTATTGGAATAAAAAAGGGAAAGAGAACAGTTTTTTGAGCTCCTGCTTTGTGCCAAGTGCTTTACAAAAATGGAGTCCAGAAATGTGAAATTGTTCAGAATGGATGTGAGCATATACAGGTGTATCTGTGTTTAGCATGTAGTTTATGGCTAGTGTCAATATTTATAAGTATTGATTCACATCTTTAAAAATAGTCTTGTAACTATTCTTTCCTAAAGTGTCATTGTAGTATTTCTCTCTGAAGATACTGAAATTTCTGTACTACATTATCTTTGATGGAATTCTGCAGTTGATGTCTTAACCTCAAATTTGATGACAGATTCAAAAACTGTTTATTCAGAATTCTCTGGCTATTTCTCACATATGTGAAGAAACCAAGGACAGACATTCTGAGGGTTTATTTAAGGAACTTACCTGAAAATAAAAATATGAGAACTTTTTCCAAATATCCAGTCTTCTTAACAGCCTCTTGATTCCCACAGTGTGTTTATATTTCATGTGCTTAACTAACCTCCCACATTCATATTTGAACATTTATGTGCTGAACAAGCATGCCAGGTGGTCAGTAGACCCCCTGTTCCCTAGAACATTTTCAGTCTTTGCTGATTCTATAGGAAAAAGTTCAAAATGAAATTCTGCACCATTGCACTTTAGCAGTTTCTGGGGGAAAAAAAAGAAAGTGGTCGATAAATATCTCCAGATTTTTACGTAGCTACAGAAAGAAAATATGGATGCCTTCATTTATTCTACTAATGTGTTTAGCAGGTTTTACTCTGTAAAAAGCAATGTAGCTACATATCAGAAAAAAATTCTGATGACATAAAAAATTTTAAAAGGGTCATTCATCCAATGCCCAGAATGAACCCTGTTAACTTATAGGTCTCTACTTCCTATCTCATTATTCTCTTTACTTTTTAAAAAAAAATTGCATCTTACTGTGGTGTCTTATTTACATTCATATTTAAGAGGGAATTTTTTTCATTATTTTTAGAGTATTTTCCCCATTTCTTGACATATTTTTATTGTCTGCTTGAGATTCCATTTTATGTATGCTATAATTTATCATGTTATTAATGTATTGAAGTCAATTCTACTTTTCTTTCTTATGAACAATATTGCATCTAAGAACCCTAAATGTAAAACTTTGGGAATATTAGTGATTATTTCCTACAGATGAATTCTTTCAAGTGGATTTGTTGCATCAAGAAGTGTATATGTATTTAAAGGTCTAGATTGTTGTTGTTTTTCAGGTACTAAATTGTGATGACTCTTTGTGACCCTATGGGTTGTAGCCTGCCAGGCTCTGTCCTCCACCATCTCCCAGAGTTTGTTCAAATGCACATCAGTGATGTTATCTACCATCTCATCCCCTGCCACCTGCTTCTCCTGTTGCCTTCCATCTTTCCCAGCATCAAGGACTTTTCCAGCGAGTCAGCTCTATGCATCAGGTGGCCAAAGAATTGGAGCATCAGCTTTAGCATCTGTCCTTCCAACGAATATTCAGGGTTGATTTCCTTTAGGATTAACTGGTTTGATTTCCTTGCAGTTCAAGGGACTCTCAAGAATCATCTTCAGCACCATAATTTGAAACCATCAGTTCTTCAGCACTCAGCCTTCTTTATAGTCTGACTCATATCCATACATGTCTGCTGGTAAAACAATACTTTGATTATATGGACCTTTGTCAGCAAAGTGATGTCTGCTTTTTAATACTCTGTCCAGGTTTGTCATAGCTTTCCTTCCAAGAAGCAAGCAAGCATCTTTTAATTTCATGGCTACAGTCACTGTCTGCAGTGATTTTGGAGTTCAAGAAAATGAAATCTGTCAGTGTTTCCACTTTTTCCCTATCTATTTGCCATGAAGTGATGGGACTGGATGCCATGATCTTAGTTTTTTGAATGTTGAGTTTTAAGCCAGCTTTATTCCCCACTTCTTTCCAACTCATCGAGAGGCTCTTTAGTTCCTCTTTACTTTTTGCCATTAGAATGGTATCATCTGCATATCTGAGGTTGTTGATATGGCTCTTGGCAATCTTGATTCCAGTTTGTGATTCATCCAGCCTGGCATTTTGCATGGTGTACTCTGCATAGATGTTAAGCAGGGTAACAATATATAGCCTTATCATACTCCTTTCCCAATTTTGAATCAGTCCATTATTCCATGTCTGGTTCTAACTGCATCTTAACCTGCATACAGGTTTCTCAGAAGACAAGTGATGTGGTCTGATATTCCCATCTCTTTAAGCATTTTCCACAGTTTGTTGTAATCCACACAGTCAACGGCTTTAGCATAGTCAATGAAGCAGAAGTAGACATTTTTCTGGAATTGCTTTGCTTTCTCTATGATCCAGTGAATGTTGGTAATTTGTTATCTCTGGTTCTTCTTCCTCTTCTAAACTGTACATCTAGAAGTTCTCAGTCAACGTACTGTTGAAGCCTAGCTTGAAGGATTTTGAGCATAGTCTTACTAGCAAGTGAAATGCGTGCAGTTGTCCAGTAGTTTGAGCATTCTTTAGCATTACCCTTCTTTGTGATTGGAATGAAAACTGACCTTTTCCAGTCCTTTGGCCACTGCTGAGTTTTCCAAATTTCCTGACATATTGAGTACAGGACTTTAACAGCATCATCTTTTAGGATTTGAAATAGCTCAGCTGGAATTCCATCACCTCCACTAGCTTTGTTCATACTAATAGTAATGCTTCCTAAGGCTCACTTGACTTCACACTCCAGGATGTCTGGCTCTAGATGAGTGATCACACTATCATGGTTATCTAGGTCATTAAGACTTGTTTTGTATTGTCCTTCTGTGTATTCTTGCCACCTCTTCTTAATCTCTTCTGCTTCTGTTAGGTCTTACCATTTCTGTCCTTTATCGTGCCTATCCTTGCTTTAAATATTCCCTCAATACTCTAATTTCCTTGAAGAGATCTATAGTCTTTCCCATTCTATTTCTTTGCATTTTGTTCACTTAAAAAGACTTTCTTATCTCACCTCTGCTATTTTCTCCATTCAGATGGGTATATCTTCTTCCCCTTTCTCCCTTCCCTTTTGCTTCTCTTCCTTCCTCAGCTATTTGTAAA